GTGTGTGTGTGTGTGTGTAAGTCTCAGTTAGCCTAACGCAGTACACATACTGTAGCAAGGGTTTTTTATTATTATTATTATTATTATATAATAAATAAAAAGAAAGCCTATAGAATAGAAAAAGAATAAAGCAAGCTAGTGTTAGAGGCTTTTTTTTTGCTTTTTTGTATAATAAAGAAAAAGACAGAATACAAAAAGAATAGAGAAGCTGGTGTTAGTTTTTATTTTTATTTTAAAGAAAACAAGCAGTTAGTAAATGAATAGAGTGCAAGTCTAAAAGGGGCAAGTTTTTTTTTTTTTTTGTTGCGGATGGGCTGCTGGCAGGCAGTGCACAGGAAGCAGTACACATGCCAGGTTTGCTTCAGAGCGTTGATGACTTCCTGTTAGCAGACGAGAAGCGCAGATTAGAACGCAGCCTGAACTCTTCCTGCTGAAGCTTTATCACTCACTCACAGCACTATCACATCAGCAGCGTCACATCCTACAGCAGACACTTCTGCTCCAGCCCAACCAGTCAGACGCCCAATATTTCACATAACCGCTGAGATTTTAGCTTAATATTTCAATATTTCAGCAACACATTCATGTTTGCAGTTTTCAGATGTCATTAATGGTCACATGACATGCAGCTAGTCAAATAAAATATAACATTATAAAATATAATAAAAGAGAGAATAGTATATACAATGCAATGCCTGTATAAAGAGAAAAAGAGTCATAAAATGATGATTATATAAAATATTATAAAAATTCAAATAAATAAGTTATATTTATTTAATTATATATATTATATCTAGTTTCCATTTATTTAGAATACATCAAATATTAAAATCATAACTATATTATAAAATTATTATTATTATATTGAATTAAATATTGTACAAATTCTAACAAATAAATTAAATGTATTTAATTATTTAATTAAGGATATGTTTTTATGAAATGTAGAGGAGGAAAAAGTGTGATATTATGCTTTGGAATGTAGTGAAGTAAAAGTAAGTTTCTCAAAATAAAAATATCTTTATTTAAAGCTGCAGTCCGTAACTTTTTTTGGTTAAAAATGATCCAAAATCAATATTTGAGCTTATATTATAAAATTGTTATTATAATATTGAATTAAATATTCTAATAAATAAATAAAATTTATTTAATTCATAAATAAAAAGTTTTCATTTAGAATTTAAATATTAAATATTATACAATTATGATTATAATATTATATAAAATATTATAAAAATGAAAACAAATAAATGACATGTATTTATTATAATTTATAATATTTATATATAAAAATATTTATATAAGGGTGTTTACAGTGGGTCTTGGGTCCATGTTATATTCACACTGGTGTTTTAGGACTACAGTCAAATTTAATATAATAATAATAATAGTTGTATTTTACACTACAAGTTACAATACTGATATTTATATCTTACATTTTTCACTTTCAAACCTTCAAACCCTCCAGCTTTTAACATTTCAAATGACACACTGCTAGTGTGTAAATGAACACAGTGCTGCGCTTCACTCTCACAGACTATTAACTTAATTAATAAAATCACACCCATTGATTTGATAATCACACTAAGTTACACTATCAGCTTACTTTAATTGTGCAGCCCCATTTATTTATATACATTTTACATTTAATTTAATTTTTCACTTTTCATCAACTCACAAACCCCTTAGGAAATCCCAGTGCATTTAAAACATGGATGAAAAATAATTTCGAGACATATTGATCAGGGCTGCGTTTACCAAAAGCATCGTAAGTAGTGGTCGACCGATATATCGCCAAGGCCGATATATCGGCCGATATTTGGCATTTTTTTAAATATCGGCATCGGTCGATAAGTTTTCCTATTTGGCCGATGCGTTCGAGGTGGGACTTTTATTTTGACGGTGCAAAGAACGGCAGCGCCTGAGCACATTCTCCCTCTTGTTCGCTGTTGTCCTTCAGTTCTGTCTAATATATGGATCATCTAATACGTCTGTCTAATAATCAGATGGAACGGTTAAACAAAGGAATTAAAATGTATACAAAAAGTATTATAACGATTGCTTTTATATTATTAGTAATAGAAAGGCAATCGATAAGTTTTCCTATTTGGCCGATGCGTTCGAGGTGGGACTTTTATTTTGACGGTGCAAAGAACGGCAGCGCCTGAGCACATTCTCCCTCTTGTTCGCTGTTGTCCTTCAGTTCTGTCTAATATATGGATCATCTAATGTCTGTCTAATAATCAGAGAGAACGGTTATTTGAAAAAATACGATTCCCAATGCACACAAACTTCCCAGAATACTGAGTGCCCTGTTGGTTACAGTGTTTACTTCATTTTTTATTATATTTTTATTAAATATTTATTTATTTGTGAAAAATACTTTGTCATCTAAAGTACAAGTATGTTTATTTAACACATTTAATTTTTAATAAATTTTCAAATGATTTCAAATTTTTTAAATAAAATAAATAAAATTATATTGGCTTTATATCGGCCACCCTGCTTTCCAAGATATCGGCATCGGCAGTCAAAAAACTAATATCGGTCGACAATTAATCGTAAGCTACTTAAGTACATCGTAGATTGAAACCAATGGCCCTACGATCAACTTAGGCTTACAATGTTTTTGGGAAACTCAGCCCAGATCTATAAATCGGTTAAAGCCCGTTCCCACAGTCCAACGCTCTCAGAGAGAAGGGAATAAAGAGAATAAAGCTTTACAGGGAACAATCATGGAGGTCAATAGTTAAGAGCATCATTCATGATGAACAAAATACAATTGCATTTATACAACAATTATATTTATTTCAATTATAACTATTTAAGGGGACATGCACACACATTTAAATATTTATATAATATATATTTTTATACAATATTTCAAATATCATATATTCAATAAATATTTCAGTAATCTACATTTTATAAATTAATTTGAGCATGTTACTCAAAAAGTGGCTCTTACACGCATCTAATTAATAGAATAAATGTTTGAAATATATGTAATATTTATATTTAATATATAAATATATTTTTAGTTTGTTTTTTATATTTTTTTAAATAGTTGACTCTTTAATGTCAGTGGATATAAAAATATAAAAATAAAATAAAAATCAATGTTTTAAATATAAGTATTCCTGTATATTTAATATGTATATTCATATATTTAATAAATAATTAAATATTGTATAAATTATATACAGTATATATATATATATATATATATACACACACACTCTCTCCTCACACACACTCACACACACTCTCACACACTCACACGCACACACACACGCACACTCTCACACACACTCTCTCTCACACACACACACACGGGACAAAACATGTCCAATTGTAACTGCTAATAGGTTTAAAAATGTAAATATTTTCAATTGTAAATGTTATGGGGGATTAATAATAAAATGTATTTAACACAATTATCCTCTTCAATTTAATTTTATCATTATTATATCAAATCCATGACACTTATTGTCTTCTCACTACATCTAAAACAGTGAGTCCACAGAGAGGGGTTCAATCATTCATATGCTATAAAATGGATACAAATGTTTTTTAATGATGTGAATCTTTTATAAACAATAACATACTCACTGTTTGTTGTGTTTGTTTTAATACAGTAACTGATTGATTGAATGTATTAGATTCAGTACAAATTCAGGTTTTCGTCAACTCTGTCAGATGGATATTTTGATAAGATTTCATTATGATATTTTATATTTGTTGAGGAATTGTTGGTCACATGTGAAAGTGTAATCTGTCTGCTAACATGAGAATGTGTTTTGAAATGTTAAAAACATCCTGATGCTGTTAAAGATAAAGTTGAAATTATATTACACAGCCCAAGGTTAAAAAGCACATTTTGATAAAAAAAAAAGTAAAGTTGGGAGGTTGCATCAAAGCATAGCTCAGTAGCTTAGTACACATAAGATACATAAAAGTAGTTTCATTTGTCTGAGTACAAGGACTTATTTTTTTTAAATTTTGCACCCTGTTTTGTCCCACTTCTCAAGAATCAGTGTTATATGTGACCCTGGAGCATGGGGTATATTTGTAGCAATAGCCAACAATACATTGTATGGGTCAAAATTATCGATTTTTCTTTTATGCCAAAAATCATTAGGATATTATGTAAAGATCATGTTCCATGAAGATATTTTGTAAATTTCCTACCGTACATATATCAAAACATATATCAAATATACATTGCTAAGAACTTCATTTGGACAACTTTAAAGGTGATTTTCTCAATATTTGGATTTTTCTGCATCCTCAGATTCCAGATTTTCAAATAGTTGTTGATTTTCATTGGTTGGTTGGTTGCAGAACTACATAATGCATACATAGTTCATAAACATATAGTAACATAATAGGCTATAAACAGTACTAATGGTATTAGTTAGATGTCAGATATGTTAGCCTATGTATTTTTATGCTTCTCCGAAAACAAACTTTAGACAACCAAAGAAAATATGTAATTTGACTTTCTGACAAAATGTTTTAATGTTATAAATGAGTCTATTTCGAAATGTCTAAAATGTTATAAATGAGTCTATTTAAAAATATTTATTAAATTTAAATGAATTCATTACGTAGCTAAAACATTATTTAAAAAAAAAAAAATTGAAGACTTGTTTCGTCCAGAGTTTTTGAACGAATCTCTTGAATGATTCAGACATCAAATACATTTAACAGTCACTGTTTGCCACCTACCGGCATAATGTAACACATACAATCTATATTTGAAACGTATCATTAGTTCCAAAGATTAATTACTTGTTTTGATTTTGAGTCTATATCCGGATTTAAAACTTTTCTTAAATCATTAAAATTATTTAATGTTTGCAACACAGAAATGTAGCCTACTGTGTAAGTAGACTGTTTGTGTAAAGGAGGTATATAATATATATATATATATATATATATATATATATAAAAGTGTCACTGATTTGAATTAATTACAGTCCAACGAGACACATGATTTGAGGAATCATTTACAAATGCTGCAGGATGATGGACAAACTGAACTTTTGAAACTACGGTTCAGAGTATAAGCAATAGTAGACTTGGTGAACAGCACAAATCAGTTGCTGTCTCTCACCCCGAGAACCTTCTGCTGGCATCTGAAGCAGGCCGGGGCCAGAAACTGCTCGTAACAGCGCTCGCAGTAGACGGAGCCGCGCTCCTCCACGAAACCCACGTCTGCCAGAGAACTGCGGCAGTGAGAGCAGGTGAACTCCTCCTTATGCCACGATCTGCCCATCGCCACCAGGAACGGACCCCTGCCAAACACCAGAGACGATTACTACACAATACATCAGATGAGCAGCTTCATCTCAGTGTCATCCAGCGACACCTCCATGAGATGACAATCACAGGTAACTAAAACCATCAAAAAAAAAAAATGTTAACTGAAATAAAATACTACTACTATTATTATTATTATTATTGTAATTTCAGCTAAGACAACATTTCTCATTTTAATTCAGAAACATGATGGTCTTGTGTAGGTGTTCAATGTTACAAAATTTGTAACAAATGTAACACTACCATTCTAAAGTTTGACGTCAATCAATTAAAAAAAAAAAAAAAAAAACGAATACTTGTATTCCGCAAGGACGCATTAAATTAATTAGTAAAGTATCGGCAGTAAAGACTTTTATAATGTTACAAAAGATTTCAATTCAAATAAATGCTGTTCTTATGAACTTTCTGTTCATCTGTGAATCCTGAAAAATAAAATGCATCACAGTTTCCACAAATATAGGAAGCTATTAACTAATATATATTAATATTTTAACATTTATTAAATTTAATTAAAAACGAACTTAATTTTAAATAACTAAAAAGTAAATAAATAAAAAACTATATTTAACAAAAAACAAAAAGCTACTAAAATGACAAACACAACAAAATTGCTAAAACTTTTAAAAATTAAAATGTTTTTAGTATCATTCAGATGCTATTAAAGTTTTATTAATATTTTGAATCATTTCTTATTTTTATGTTTTAATTAAAATTTTTAGTTAGTTTTCGTAACTTTGTGGTGTGTTTTTGTCATTTTTAGTAGTTTATAGTTTTTATTATTTCATTAATATTTCAGTTTTAGTATTAGTTGTTAACTTTAAATCAACTGAAAAATTTAATTAACTGAAAATTAGAAATGTTGCCTTGACAACTAGTATTTTATATTTTATTGCAGTTAACATGTAACTTATTTCAAGTAACAAAAAAAAAAAAAAAATGTCATTTTAATGCTTTTATTTTTTATTTCTGTTTTTTATTTATAAAACCCTGAACGGAAAATACAATATAAATGTAAAATATGAATAAAAACTATAATACTATAAACTCAATTAGACTAAAATGACTTTGTTACCACCATAAAATGTTTTTCCTCATAAAGCACACACAACGCAAAGCCCTAAGTTGAATGTGACTGGTGTGCTATCAGAGCTCTGGTCTGTCCTGACACTGTGAAAACAGCCGTTTTGATGGGATCTGATGTGGAGGAATCTGTTGAGGTAACGTGAGGATGGGCTGATAAATCGGATGATTAGCTGGAAGGGAAGACAACAGACACTGGCGATATCAGATGCAGAAAGCAGAGACTTTAAGCTTGGATGTCACGGCTGCTTCGGCCGGAGTCTGGCAGTCTGTGGAGTAACGGATCCTGCTCTCTGGAGACGAGCTGAAGGAGTCTGAGCTCCTGAAACAACTCAGCGCTCATGGCCCAAATCCATCAGACGCTCGTTTACCTACAAACTAAACTTCACACAGCCGCATGTGATCGCCACACTAATGTAACCTTTGACTCTCTGTTGTTTTAACATGATGGTCTTGTGTAGGTGTTCAACGTTACAAAATCTGTAACAAATGTAACACTAACGTTCAAAAGTTTGAGGTCAGACACATTTTTTTTTTCTTTTTTTTTTTAAAGAAATTAACACTCTTATTGAGCAAGGATGCATTAAATTGATCAAAAGTGACAGTAAAGACATTTATAATGGTACAGAAGATTTCTATTTCTAATAAATGCTGTTCTTTTGAACTTTCGATTCATCTATGAATAATTAAAAAAACAAAGTATCACGGTTTCCTCAAAAATAACTGTTTTCAACATTGATAATAATCAGAAATGTTTCTTGAGCAGCAAATCAGCATATTAGAATGATTTCTG